TTTTTCAAAAATTTATTTGAAAAAAAGTACTAACTAGCAAATGTTTTTTATTAGCTCGCAATTTTCTTCAAAACTACTTCAATGAGGAAAAAAATGCAAATTTGGAATATCTATACATGAGGGGCTAATTGATCCGATCTCAATTTTTTGAGCCATGACTAATTCCATTTTGATGACAATTTTTTTTGTCATTTTTGAAAAATCGATTTTTGGAAAAACAAATTGTTTCGAATCTGTATGAAAAATTGAATTTTAATTGGTGTCAAGGAATAAAGTTTATTAAAGTCTATATTCATGAAAAAATTCAGGAAATTCGATTGACCGAAAAATGAAGAAAGAAGACCACCGTTGCAGAAGAACGAAAATCTGTTGATTGATAACGTTAAGTGCGATGAAGAAATTGTTTTCTTTTTGTGGTGTATTTTCAGATTTCTGAGGAAGATAATTTAGTGATTGCAGTTTTTGGTGTTTTCAAAATGCAGCATATAAAAAAAACAATCAGAGTTCATTGACTATATCATTTTATGGGATTTCTCCTTTGGTTGCAAATGAAATTTTAGTTGAAATTTGATTTAAAAAACAGTAGATGTTAATTTTTCTAAAGAAAACTTATTCTCTTTCTAGTTCTTCTGCACGAATTCTTGTGCACTCATTTTACGCTTTTTCTCTGAATTTTATACTGAGGAATAAAAACAAATACATTTGAAGAAACATGAAAGCTCATGCCGAGGGAATTTTTGTAGGAAAACTAAAATCTGTTGACTTATAAATTAACAAACAATTAGTTGTTTCCTTCGTAAAGATAAAGAACAAGACTGATACGGGTGAATCAATGAATTAGCGACCAAAAATGTAGAATGATTAATTTTTTATTTGTCATCACAAATAGGAAAAACGTCGATTTGAAATGCTACAATTTTAACCCGAACCCGCGCTCCAGTTCAGTTGACAAGAATCAATTCACCTCTACTTCATAACGTAAAGATGTTCGATTACATAATTTCATTGTGGAATACCCTAACACCTAGTTGAAAAATTCAATAATATCTTCTGTTCTCCAATGATACATCGACCCCCAGAACCTCCAATCAAATAATTACGAGAAGAATGAGCATGCGGCATTGGAAATGAACGAACCCTAGTCGTTGGACACGAACACCGAGAAAAAAATCATTCTGCCGAGTGAATATTAATTTGACAGAATTAACTCATCGTTACAATTGCGATTCATCACAGAATAATTTTTGCACACGATCTGAATGAACTCCGAACGATTATCGACATGAGAAATTATTGAAAATTCCCCCACACATCATAATAAAATAATTATAGAGAAGTACAGCTCTGGAAAGTGACACAATTCTCTCAAATGAATATTCATTCGGCAGAAGTAATTTTTTTCCCAATGAATGGTGGAATGAAAACGAGAACAAAAACATAATCCCATTGTCTGGGAGTTTGAAATATCATTCATTTTATACAAAAGTAGGAAGCAAGATAGTCTCTCTCAATTGATCACTCTTTAAATGAAAAATTCTACTACGTAAATACGATGAACAAGACTGATCAAAATAGTAATTTATAAAAATGGCATTGACGATTAACTAATCACTTGACATTCACACTGAATACATCTGTATTGTTTCGATAAAAATTATCTTGCGTCGTGCTTAATGCTCTCTCCACGATATCAGACATTAAATTCATCAATTACTCTTGGATTTCAGGGAGATAGGCCTGTACAATGATCGTTCGTGCTGCAGTTGAGAATCTAATTCATCGTTTCGAGGCTCGATGATTAATTCAAGCAAATACTCACTCCAAACACAATGATAATCCCTTATCTTTTTGTCCCCTCTTATTTATACTTGATTTTGAAAATTATTATTAGGATTTTCTCTTATGTCAATTTCTTCGGCTCTTGTAGATTGTTGCCTATCAAGGATTCACACTCTCTTTCTTCGTTTCCTCGTTCATGGCATTCACCTTGTCGTCCTTGTCATTTTCTGGGGATTAAAATGATTTGTTAGGCGTTTGGTGAGTTAATTTTTATGAAAAAGGTGGCATTAATTTTTACGAGTTTTTGCATTTTTTAAGGTTTTTGAGAGATTAGAATGCTTTATGAACTTTTGCAAAAATTTCTTACGCTGGAAGATTTAATTGCGTGGAATTTCTGTTTTTTTTTTCGTCGATTTTGTGATGAAAAAGAAAAAAATACAGTTTACACAATTTGGAAAATTCATGCTGAATTTTCAAAATAATTATCTCTACAGGAAAATCAAGGTTAGAATTTTTTCCATCAATTTTTCTCATGCGTGATTTCATCGAATTTCAATTCTCATGATAAAAAAATAAGAAAACAAAATTGAGGGAAAATTACATAATTTTTATTTTATTTTGAAAACTTCCTGAGAATTGAAAACTGTATTTTTTTCAAAAATTTCTTCTCCTAAAAAATTCAACAACACGAATTTTCTATTTTTTCGATTTTGTGATAAAAAAATACAGTTTAAAAAATTGTTTAAATTTATTTTCTCACAAAATTTTATTTCAAAAAACCTCAAGAAAATGATTCATATAGAAAAATCAGTCTACAATTTTTTCTATCAACTATTCTCACACCTGCTTCCATCAAATTTTAATTTAGAATTCATTTTTATTTATTTTGCCATGGATATATATCTCTGTACGTTGTGAATCCTATTACTGGCCTCAGCTGTCGGATTCATGTTTCAATAAATAAATAAATAATAAAAAACCGTTGAATTATGCATTTTTTCAAAGATTTCAGTTCCTAAAAAATTCAACAACCCGAACTACCCAATTAGTTTCTTCCATTTCATAACAAAAAAAAAAAATTGTACAAATAAGCCCCAAACATAATTTCCATGAGATCTCACGACTGCTCCAAATATCCCTAAAACAATTGACCGAATAATTCCCAAAAATGAAAAAAAATCAACCTTTAATATCCGATTTGGCATCATCCTCCTTCTTGATATCGGTCTCCATGCTCTCCTGTCCCTTCTCGAGCCTGGGTCTCTTCCTGGAGCCCTTGAACGACCTGTTATCCCTCCTGCCCCCCTCCCCCTCGTCCTCACTATCGCTGTACTCATTGTCATGTTGTATCCTCTTATCCAAATCCCTCTGGGGCAGTCTCTCATCAGGATTGACCTTCTCCTCAGCCTCTGAATCCTCGACAGTCGCCCCGTCCTCAGGAATCGCCTGAACCTGTACCCCAGGTGCATGAGGCAGCATCCTGAGATTCTCAAAGAGCCTCGTCTTGATTTTCTCCAAGTACTCCACAGTATTCTGATTACCCATATTGGACGGACTGATGTGAAGCTTGAAATCAGGGCCAAAATACTCGAAATAATCGTTGTAAGGTAGTTCATTGGCTATTTCACAGCCAAGAGCAACTGATGTTTCGTATGTCCAGCATCTGGAGACATTTCTGATGGTGTAGCCACCCCCACCCACCATGAGAAACGGTAAGTTATACTTCTTGACGAATTCCACGCATTTCCCATGGCCCCTGACAGTCAGGTTGAAGCAACCGAGTCGATCACCAGTGAGAGAGTCAGCTCCACACTGGAGCACAACAGCTGATGGCTGAAATGTCTCCATGACCTTTTAAGGAACCATAAAAATGGGTTTGAAACTTGGAAATTAAATAACAGGAATTGAAAATTTTAGGTAAAAATTTGATAACAACAGTAAAAACAGAATTAATACTTTGAGAATTAAATTGAATTGAATATTGGAGAGTGAAATAGTGAGAAATTAGATTGACCGTTTAACCAAATGAAAATAATTAGCCTGTCGCGAAATTTGTTTAGAGATCGGAGAACCGAAGAATTAAAATTTATTATAAATGATGAGTTATTTATTATAAATAACTCATCATTTATATCTTCATCGTTTGATGAATTAATCCCGGGTGGATTATCTTTTGAATGTGATCTTGGTTGTTTTTTTTATTTTGATAATCTAAAATGATCTCCAATTGCCATTCAGTTTTACAGCTCCCTGGAGTCTCCAAAAATTATGATTGCACAATCATAAAAACCTTGCAAAAAAGTTGAATATTTTCAAAGAGTGTTCTTGAATAATATTGGGAAATGAACCCAATAGGAAGGAAATTGCAAATTAATAATTTTATGTATCTAATGGCTGTTCGGTCGTCATTTGTCACAGTAGTCTATAGCTCTCAGATCGTTAGTTGCCATAATAAATTATCAGTTCACTATTTCCTCTCTATCGGACGTATTTTGTAATCTTTATTAAAAACGCTCTTTGAAAATGTTCATTTTTTTTCTACTTTTTTTTATTGTACAATCATGATTTTTAGAGACTCCTGCGTGATGTAAAATCCAATGGAAATTGTGATATATTGTACATTATGAAGATGGAAAAACAATCGAGATAACGTTCGAAAGGCCTCAAAATTCGAAATAAAAAGAATGGAATTTTTCTAAAAATTGATGGGACGGAATTGAAAGAGTTAGAATTGGAAATTTTGAGTAAACCAAAAAGAATTTAGCTGTAATAAACTGTGTTCGTGTAATTCATTAACGTGAACTAATGAAGAAGAAATTTGATGGATTAATAGGATAAATAAAAAATTGAGCCGAAATTCCGAATAAAATAAGAAAAGTTTCATCACAACCTTCGAGATTATTGGAACAAAAATGGACTCGTAGCTCTCGTCGTCCATTCCATCCCTCAGTGGTATGTTAACGGCGTAGTACTTCCCCTTGCCAGCCCCAATGTCCCGTAGATCACCCGTTCCTGGGAAGTATTCACCGTATTTGTGGAAGGACACTGTCATCACTCTGTCTGTCGTGTAGAACGCCTCCTCGACACCATCGCCATGGTGCACGTCTATGTCGATGTACAGAACTCTTTGGTGGTATTTTAGGAGCTCCAGGATGCCTAGGACTATGTCATTCACGTAGCAGAATCCTGAGGCTTCACTCTTTTTCGCGTGGTGGAGACCTCCACCCCAGTTTATGCAGATTTCTGAGGCCTGTTTGTTCAGCTTTACTGCTGCCGCCACTGAGCCACCAGCTGACAGCTGACAGAACTCGTACAGTCCGTCGAACACTGGGCAATCTTCTCCGACATTGACTGGAATTTTGGAATTATTGGATGAGAGAGAGCGTGTGGACGATAAGATTTAATGGAAAAAGCTGCGGAATTCGTTGGGCTATTCTATTGGATTTTTCTATTCATCTTGTTCTATTCAAATATCTTCCGTAGATTTTCCTCGGCTCAAATTTTCCGCGTTTTTTTCATTCTATTTTTATTTAAAAAATTGAAAAATTGTATTTATTGAACTAATTTTTATGAAAAATTTTGATAGGAAAAAACCGGATTTTAAGGCCCGGGTGTATTATTTATCGAACGTTATCTCGATGTTTTTTTTCATCTTTCGTCATCTGAAATAGTCCATTGAGTCTTGCATCGTGCAGAAGTTTTGCAAAATTATGAATGAATAATAAAAAAAAGGAGAAGAAATTCTTAGTTTTTTCAAAGAGCATTTTTAATTGATATTCAGAATAAGTTGAATAACAAGAAATTGAAAAATGTATCTGATTTACGGTGACAAATGGCGGCCTGTCATTTATGTCAAAATTTTAAAAAAATCGAATGGAAAAATCGATGGATTTTTATTTTTCAACTTACATCTTTGCATTTGTTTGTTGTATTCAGACATATTATCAGGTCGAATTGATCGCAGGAATCTTATGTATTCGTCACTGTGGAACTTGGTCATCTCGTCGGCTGTTGCTTTATGTGGACGCTAGAATTTTGAAACGAGTGTTTGCATCAAGAATCTCATTGAGACCTTTTATATCCTTCATTGAGATCTTTGTGGACAGATTCTAGGGAACTCACATAAATCTCCATTTTCCTGTAGAGTCCATAGTTGAGTAGTAAATTGTGTGTCATCCTTATCCGGTGGGGTTTCATGGGGTGCCCTTGCCCATAGTAATAGTTTCCTATATCGCCTGGAATTTTATTTGAAGAATTTAATTTTCGAGTGACTTTTCATGATATTCAAGTTAATTTAATACATTTGTATCACGATTTTGTTTTCAATAAACTATATTTTGATAGGAAGAAGTTCATAGATTAATTTCTCCACCGCATTTTTTTCAAAGACTAATACTTAAGACTTTCCATTGAATTTTCTCATCCTTCAAACAAAAACATTAATTGATTCATTAGATTAAAAAACTGCATTTCTCAAATAATTCTCACCGAACAAATGAGAATCATTAATTCTGTTTTGATGAACAGGAGTAGATTTTTATTTTTTTGCACAAAATATTCTGTTGAAATATTTTGTTCAAAAATTCTTCATCTCAATTTTTAAAGTTCTTTTTCCACTGCATTCGTTGTTCCCCATGACAAGATTCGAGAGTAAAAAAATTGAAAAGTTCATATATAAAATTTTCCATATAATTTTCTCATCGAAAAAAAATCGTCAATTCTGTCGTGCATTGGTAAACTAGGACAAGTGAATTTTTTTCGAAAAAAAAAATTTTTTTTGCTAAATCGCTTCCACAAATTGTTGAAAACCGATTTATATAAAAAAAAATTTTCGAAAAAAATGCATTTATCCTAGTTTACCAATTCACCGTAGAATTGATGCATTAGATTTTGAAAAAGTGCATTTTTCTAATAATTCTCACCGAATAAATGAGAATGACGAATTCTGTTTTGATAAAAAAAATAGATTTCCATTTTTTTACCTAAAGTATTCTACGGAAATATTTTTCCCATAAATCCTTCACCATAATTTTTAATATTCCCTGTCCACTGCATTTGTTGTTCCTCACGACAAAATCCAAGGTAAAAAAAATCAAAAAAATGCACTGTAATTTCGAAAAACTGCAATTTTCCAAAAATTCACGTCAGCCAAATGACCCTGACAAATTCTCTCCGACGACCGCAGCACCCAGAGTGAAGAAGAAAGTCTCCCCTCAAACTGTCACCAATTTTGAAAGATAAGTCGAGAAATTTTCAGGTGCCGTACGGTCACGAAGAAGCATGGCGTCTTTTGTAAACTACGGTCACACGAAAGCGTCAGCAGCGAATCTCTCGGCTTATCGTTTCCAAAAGAGTATAACCCCGCAATTCCCCCACTAAAATTCCCCTTTCACCCTTTCAATCCCTGCGCAACCGATATTTCCCCCCAATTAACGACTAAAACACGACAAAAATGAGACAAAACAGTGCAAAAATACAAGTTCACTGACGTACGTGACTGAACCGCTGACTCCGCAGTCGCTCTTTTTGGATGGAAAAAACGGGACGAATCTTTCAAAAAATTGCCAAAAAAAACATTACGAATGACATCTGCAGTACTTACTATCGTAATAATAGCAGACACGTTTCCTACTGTGGGGCTGTGTTGACATTATCCTCGATAATCACTCGACGAGTGCCACAAATCACAAAATATGAATTAACTAGAGGAGTTGGATGCTGAAGGCCGGAACTCCTTCCGTTGTGTGAATATTTGACGCGATATTCACACACGAAATCACACGCACATCAGTCACAACTTCATTTAGATAACCACGGGGACGAGAGGCTGATCAAGGAATTCTGGATTCTGGAGGGAGCGCGTCACCTTAAGGAACAGAAAACGGCGCATGCGCGGAGGCACAGTGTTGACGACACAATTGAAGACACTCCCGCCAACATGACCACTTCATTCAACTTCATTCCGGTATTTGAATGTTGTATGTAGAGATGCAAAATGACCGTCATTTTTTAGATCGCGTCATATGATCAAAAAATGACGGTCTTATGACGGCCATGTGACGCACAAATTTTCCAACTACAAATGATTGTCGCAAATCATTTGTAACCAAATTGTTGTCAAACTATCTATATAGTCGGATAATGACGGTCATAACTAATTTCCAATTTATTGTGACGGTCATGAATAAAACAAAATAGTTTCATCTATATGGATGAAAAAAAAACGTGATTTCCATTTCAAAATGCGGATCAGGCCAATACAAAAGGAATTCTACTGAAAATTGACCGAGAAAAAAAATAAAGTTTCATCTATATAGATGAAAAATGAACGTCATTTTTTCTTGACAAGTTACAACGGTCATGAAGGGGGAGGGGGAATGTGACTAGAGATGCAAAATGACCGTCATTTTTAAGATCGCGTCATATGACAAAAAAATGACGGTCTTGTGACGGCCATGTGACGCACAAATTTTCCAACTACAAATGATTGTCCCAAATCATTTGTAACCAAATTGTTGTCAAACTATCTATATAGTCGCATAATGACGGTCATAACTAATTTCCAATTTATTGTGACGGTCATGAATAAAACAAAATAGTTTCATCTATATGGATGAAAAAAAAACGTGATTTCCATTTCAAAATGCGGATCAGGCCAATACAAAAGGAATTCTACTGAAAATTGACCGAGAAAAAAATAAAGTTTCATCTATATAGACGAAAAATGACCGTAATTTTTTCTTGACAAGTTGCGACGGTCACAGAAGGGGGAGGGGGAATGTGACAGCCGTCATGAACGCCTCGTGATGGGACCGTCAATGACGGTCACACGACCGTCATATGACGGGTCATGTGACGCATTTGCATCTCTAGTTGTATAACTGTAAAAGAATTTTCAGTAGTAATACCACGAGACCTCCAAAATTATCGGATATTTCCGGATTTTTTTGTTGTCGGGATAAGTTTTGCACAAAAATTTTAATCTGCAAAACTTCTACCTCTCGTTGCTACGCAGGAAAACATGAGTTTCAAGAGTGATGTTATCTAGGGTGCCAAGTGAATTTGAAAAAAGATTCAAAAAAAATTTTTTCTTTCCCTCCATCATTGGAGAAATATGTATTCATCCATCCGACAAAATTTCAAACCCGCAACGGGAACTAGAGATCGAGAAAATAAATGCGGAAAATCCTCTATTCGCGTGACGAACCTCGAGAAAGCATGGGATCAAATGGGTACGGCGGGTTGAAATATCTCTCTTATTCACCCCGGTACCCCATTGTTTTTTGTCGCCATCACATTGAACACATCATTCCCCATATCTTCAAATTTTTTCAAATTTTTCTTGAGTTCCTAGGGGGTTGAAACGTTCAATTTAATCAAAACTCCATAAGAGGCCGTGTATAAGACTGATTTTGTTTATTTAATTTCTCGATATCCATAAGTTCTAAAATTTTAAAATNAATTTTGTTTATTTAAATTCTCGATATCCATAAGTTCTAAAATTTTAAAATTGTCACCGATGTTCACCATCTGTCTAATACTATTAATTAAAAAAATTATAACTTTGTTGGTGAATGTCAATTTTCAAGGTCATCGCCAAATTCACTTGGCACCCTTAAGCGCTACAGTATTAACCGTAATAAAATATTACAAATTTGGTTATCCCTGCTGGGTAGGTTTTTCCCTCAAATGAGGTTTTCCCTTGTCCTTCGGCGAATGCGGTCCAGGGGGGGGGGGTAACAAATGATAAACACCCGAGAGGAAAAAAAAATGAAGCGCAATATTCCTTTCAATTTCAAATAATCTGCAAAAAATGAGCCGCAGGTAAAGAGGAATCCAAGTACAACCCGGAGTACCACCCAGACGATAAAGTAGAAACTGTGAGTATCGATTCAAAAAAATAACAGTTGCCCGACGCAGGCGCTACTCCCGCGGTACCAAGCACGACTTTGGTGATAAAAAAAAAACCACCGTTGTTTCATGTGAACGAATGATAAGTATTATTTTCACAATTATCTTGATTCTATCTCGCGCGTGAACCGAACGAGTTTAACTGAAACTACGGCGTGCTTCCGGCGAGTGATTTCGATGTGAAATTTGTGCAGTGTTTGTACCCAAAACGAGAGAAAATGGCCATCCAGTTGTGATGAACGCCAGTACTCTGAAACGGGCGATTGCAGGTAAATAAATCACGCAAAATTTAATCACCGGCATTTGTCATGAATTTTCACTTCGAATTCAAATCTCTGGGCTTGTCAACAACATTTCAAATCTGTCATTCGATTGTTCCGCGGTTTTTTGTCTTTTGTTTTGCGAGAACAATTACGAACAACTCGCGTGTCTCCTGGTTCTCTGCGCATTTTCTGTTTACCTTTCCCTCGTGGAATGCTTATTGTGAAGGATTCCCTCGGTTGAGGTGTCGCCACTGGGCATCAATATTTTTCCACTTTATTTATTTATATTATGCATAATTGGATATTTTGCGAAGTTGGTGGTGTCCATTGTTATGTCATTTTGGGGTATGGACTTGTGAAGTACTTTCCAATCCTCTCTTCCCAGTTTCACGTGATTGCGCTTATTCATGTGACCCCTCATACACTTATTGAAAAAAAATTTATAACTCGGCAATTAGAATGAACGGATTTTTCAGAGAACTGTACAATTTTGGAACTCGAGCTTTGCATCACACGACCTGGCTTTACCTCGTGATTCTTTAAATAACCGATCCCATACGGAAAAATTTATATTTTGAAAAATAGGGGCGGGTGGGATAAAATGCACACTTTAGATTTTTTTTTAATTATTCATAACTCAGAACCAAATTTATCAATTGAGCTCAGTTTAGGCTCGTCACAAAGGGAAAGAATTGTTCTTTGCATTGAAAAAGAAATTATTAAATTTTATCAACATTTCAACCCCTCATTAACATTAAAAACAAAGTCAAAAGTGGCCATTTTACCCCAACCTGCCCTATATTAAAAAATAACGCAAATTGTCGCAATTTATATAAAAAATATATAAAACATGTATTTTATGCTTCATATATTTTTTTAATTATAAATTTACATTATAAATTTGAAAATTACATTATAAATTTGCAAAATGTATGGAATTGGCCCGTATCATAGTTTTTTTAAAAATATTTTTTGATGAGGGATAGCACATGCACATTCATTTATTATTCGTTCATTTGGATAAATAAACGATTGACATGATTATTGTTTTTTTAAATGGGATTTTCAATTTGTTGAAGAACTGAATTGTTTTTGAGAATTGTTTTTATCGTTTTAGAGTGGTTTTTCGGGTCGTGAGGTGTTTTGGGATCGATTCCTGTGAAATTACGGAGAGAGGAACGTTTTTTCTCTGTTGGAATTCTCTGAAACATGAAAAATATTTAATTTCTCTAAATTTCTATCTGACTATTCTGTACGACGTGATGACTCTTCAAAATATAGAATAGCAGCATATGCACATTCTCCCTCCCATTCTATTTCGCATCCCCTCCATCACTGATTTCTATCCATTTCATGCCTTTTTTGGTCGTGTAGTTTGGAGAAAAAAATTACTTTCATTCTTATGAATTGACTACAGGATTGTCTACTGATACTCAATAATTTTGATTATTTGAAGCCTAGGAAGTGGGCGCAAATGATTAGTTAGTGTTTTAAGGGGTAAAATGGTGTTATTTTTGTTCTGAAAAGACACCGTTTTGTATGATTGATCCAGAATTTGGCTCTTGAGCCAAATATTTCGTTGTTGTTGAAAACAGAACAATTATTCATGTTTGAGACTTTCAAATTCGAACTAAACTAGTATATTTCAGGGTGAGTGCCATGGGGTTTGTTACTCGTGTGGAGTTGGCGTCCGAGCCGAAGGCGAGGACTGGCCAACCGCGCGAGTAAAAAAACCCCATGGCACTAGGCGTGAACGATATTTTTCCGCAGTGATTTTCAGTTTTACGAGTTTGGGGAAGGGTCAATACCAATCCCCGGACGAGAAAAAGTGAAGATCAGTACGGAAAAATAATTTTTTTGGTAATTTTCAACGAACGATTTTGTTGGCCTAAACAAGACTTGTTTGAAAACTTGTTCGTCTTTCTAATTCTTGACTAGCCAGAATTTTCATTATAAATCTGTTATTGATTGATAATGATAATTCGAAAAAAATCCACGTGCGACCCGAATTTATTCCAAGATTCGAAGTGTAAATCTCAGGTGTTCCTACATCCTTATCACCCCCTCCCAATTTCGTTAATTCCCAGCATGGATTTCGTGGAATGGAACACTTACAAAATCGACAGAGTTAGGGTGCGATTGATAGATCACAAACGGATTTAGTTAAACACCTTTAACTAAACCCGTAAGAATTCTTCGAAAAATTGTTATTAGTTGATAATAATTTTTCGAACAATTCTTTTTTCTCTCATCTGAAAAAATTAGAAATTCTGAATGTTTTATCCGCATAACCAATCAGTGACTGAGATATTTTTCCTCCACCCTCAGTCAGAATTGAGCTACATAGAGACGCATCGATTGTAACAAATTAATTCAACCTAACAACAACAATAAAATGAACTAAAAAGTGAAATTTTTCACGGTTTTCACGTTTTTTTAGCGAATAAATGAAAGCGGTTAGGACTATTGTGTTCGCAATCTAATCAGTGTATCTCACAGATACAAACATCGATATTGCAAAAAAATCGAATCACATCGTTTGATAAAAATCATAACGCAAAATTTTTCTCACATGCACAGACACTTCAAATTCACTTCAAATTTATTCGTTGCTGGATATAAAAAATAAATGAAAAATATGAATTTACACATTTGTTTCATATTGATGAATAATTAAAAACTGATAATTTATAGGCGATTGAAAATGTCTGCACTGAGAGAAAAACAAACAAGTTGTCAAACAAGTCTTGTTTGGGCCAATAAAATCGCTAGTTGAAAATTGCCAAAAAAGAATTTGTTTGGTTCGAATCTGAAAGTCTCAAATATGAATAATTGTTCTGCTTTCGACAGCAATGAAATATTTGGCTCAAGAGGTGAATAATTCACACCAGACAGTGCCTTTCAGGATGAAAATATCTCACAGAGGAAAACTTATCAACAAATATTTTATCCCTAAGTTACAAGATTGCTATGATATCATTATTATTGTTTCATTTAAGGGTTCATTTGTTGTCTGTGATTATTGGACAGCCGAAACGAAAAACTACTATCCCTTGTTCCGCATAAAACAAAGATTTTTTGGGAGCAAAATACGGATGGGAGAATCGAATAACGAAGGAGTAGTGCTAGAAATGTCATTTCTTGCGTGTACAAAGAATGCAATTTTTTTTCAACTTCTAAATCTATTTTTGCGACAAAAATTTTTCATTCCGGCGCACTCTCTGCATGTTTGGCACAAAAAAATCCTTTTCTGATAATTTTCAAAAAACTATTTTCTTGGCACAAGTAAGACTTGTTTGAGAACGTTGTCGTTTTTCTCTCAGTGTAGTTATTTCCCCTGACCCAATCGATGCTACCCTCAAGACCCTCAAATGATTTTCCGAGAAGATCAATTGACAATTTATCGAAAATAGTAGAAGCGATTTGTTCTAATGCAAGGAGAATTCACTGCTCTTCATCTGAGTGTAGGATTCATTGCAATCGAATAGTTGGAAATCTCTTCAAATCAATTATGAAGAGTTCAGAATCTGTTGTAAAATGGGGATTACTGAGGCACTCCCTTTTTCACCCATGCGTCAATTTCTGCCACTTGTATTTGCGAGGGACCTAATCTGACAGTATCTTTGACTTAGTATTTACACAATTGTGGCGGAATGAATATATTATTCTGTCGTATAATTGAACTTCGCCGGATGATAAGTTATTTCGATCTTCAATCTTTGTTGGCATTACTCTTGCGAGTTCTTTTCCCACGTGGTATAAACAGGCTCCGAAAGATAGCAATAACTGAGCCCTGTACATTTTTCAATGCCGTTTAAGGGTGCCGAGTGAATTTGGCGATGACCTTGAAAATTGACATTCACCAACAAAGTTATAATTTTTTTAATTAATAGTATTAGACAGATGGTGAACATCGGTGACAATTTTAAAATTTTAGAACTTATGGATATCGGGAAATTAAATAAACAAAATCAGTCTTATACACGGCCTCTTATGGAGTTTTGATTAAATTGAACGTTTCAACCCCCTAGGAACTCAAGAAAAATTTGAAAAAATTTGAAGATATGGGGAATGATGTGTTCAATGTGATGGCGACAAAAAACAATNAAGAAAAATTTTTTTTTGAATCTTTTTTCAAATTCACTTCGCACCCTTAAGGGGAGACTACTGTGAGTTTTAAAAGACGTGGGTTATTGTAGTGAGACTTTTCATAGGTTGAAGATCGATTATATAGATCTGAACACGAATAATTAGTGCAAAAAAAAATTTTTTTATTGTTCGTTTGCCCGAAAACGCTTAAAATGCCAAAAACAGTCCAGGGCCTCCAATTTTTGAGCTGCGAAGTATTTTTTTTTTTCAAAATTTTCGGAAAAATATGTGGAATAACAATTACGACCTTTTTTTTTTCATTCGCCTCTGACACGGCTAAATTTGCTTTTTTTGTATTTTTTTACACAAATAGTGAATTTTTTTATATGAAAAACCCGAAATCAGCTCTTGAGGAGTCGAATTCCAAAAAACTGGCTGGTAATTGTTGTTCCACACATTTTTCCGAAAATTTTGAAAAAAAAAATCTGTAGCTCAAAAATTGGAGGCCCTGGACTGTTTTTAGCATTTTAAGCGTTTTCGGGCAAACGAACAATGAAAAACAAATTTTTTTGCACTAATTATTCGTTTTCAGCTATATATAATCGATCTTCAACGTATGAAAAGTCTCACTCCAATAACCCACGACTTTTAAAACTCATAGTAGTCTCCCCTTAATATCTCAGAAGTGAGGGTAAAGTAATGATGGAGATGCGCCTTCCAACTAGGGTAAGCTACCCAGTAGATGCACACTGCCCTATAGATGGACGAGCTAATTTTGGATAGGAAATTACGCAAAAAAATACTGAAATGTGGATTGTTGCTTTGAGTTTTCACTAACTGTTGTGATTCTCAACCCCTGAGTGACGATTTTTTTTTCGATCAATTTTTTTTTCAATTGCTGAAAAACAAACGTCCATCTACTGGGCAGTTTACCCTATGATCTTCTTATATAGAAAAGAAATGTCACACGTTTAGTCTTGAATGTTTGAAACAGAAATCACATGCATGATGATGATGATACTACTGATTTGGTTGATGATGTTGATGACATCGATGATGTTGATCATGCTAATGCTCCCGATGATGCTCAAAATTCTCATCTCTTCTCTTCATCTTATCGCTAAGCCTAACACATCGATCAAAAGCGCGCGCAATGCCCTCGACATGATCTCGTTGAATAAAAAGACGACTTTACTCATAATTAAAATAATGAACTGCATTGAATTCGATTCCATGAAAAAATCATTTCGAAAAAATGATGTATCATATTTTCGAGATAGTTCGGTCACAGAGTTCATTGATATTAACCATAAATATAATGTTTCATGTACATTTTTTGTAACTGTAGTGAATGCATGAAAAATGTGATTAGTAATCTTCGATAGATAAAATTTATGTTTATTCTGGAACCGGCGTTCGTTGAAACACCGGCAAACGTCAAGTGAAGATTAGTCTGGCAATGGATTTGTTTTATATAAGAGCAACAGTTGGGTTTTACGTGGGGGAGGATTAATGCTCATTATGACATTTTCGTCAGTTCTAGGGAAGTTCCTCCCGCCCGAAGAAATGGCAGAGTATATGGAAGAACTGATGCAGTTGAACAAACCAAAAGTGAAATGGGATTTTAATTTATCTGAGGTAATTGAATAATTTATTTGATTTTTATTCAAAATTTTTTTCCAATTGTTTTTCGTAAATTCAAATTCCGTTCAGTAAAAATTCATTGTGCTCTCTCCACGTGGGATTGTTTTGATCATCTTCTAATAATGAAAGACAAAGTTTCTGTATTTCAATTCGTGGTCTCAACTTTGCACTTTTTTTCTTAAAAAAATCAACTTTACAGGTTTGTTAATTTTCTATTCATCTGGGGAATGTCGCTTGACATTTTTGACTAGAATCATCCATCATTTTTAGTTCTTTTACATTTTGTAAACTCACTTCATTGAATCCCACGAAAGTTCTGTTCTGTCGATTTTTATTCAAAATTTTTTTCCAATTGTTTTTCGTAAATTCAAATTCCGTTCAGTAAAAATTCATTGTGCTCTCTCCACGTGGGATTGTTTTGATCATCTTCTAATAATGAAAGACAAAGTTTCTGTATTTCAATTCGTGGTCTCAACTTTGCACTTTTTTTCTTAAAAAAATCAACTCTACAGTTTTGTTAATTTTCTATTCATCTGGGGAATGTCGCTTGACATTTTTGACTAGAATCATCCATCATTTTTAGTTCTTTTACATTTTGTAAACTCACTTCATTGAATCCCACGAAAGTTCTGTTCTGTCGATTTTTATTCAAAATTTTTTTCCAATTGTTTTTCGTAAATTCAAATTCCGTTCAGTAAAAATTCATTGTGCTCTCTCCACGTGGGATTGTTTTGATCATCTTCTAATAATGAAAGATTCAAAGTTTCTGTATTTCAATTCGTGGTCTCAACTTTGCACTTTTTTTCTTAAAAAAATCAACTCTACAGTTTTGTTAATTTTCTATTCATCTGGGGAATGTCGCTTGACATTTTTGACTAGAATCATCCATCATTTTTAGTTCTTTTACATTTTGTAAACTCACTTCATTGAATCCCACGAAAGTTCTGTTCTTTCGATTTTTATTCAAAACGTTTTTTCCAATTGTTTTTCGCAAATGCAAATTCCGTTCAGTAAAAATTTATTGTGCTCTGTCCACGGGATCGTTTTGATCATGTTCTAATAATGAAAGATTCAAAGTTTCTGTATCTCAATTCGTGGTTTCAACTTCGCACTTTTTTTCTAAAAAAAAATCAACTTTACAGGTTTGTTAATTTTCTATTGATCTGGGAAATGTCGCTTGACATTTTTGACTAGAATCATCCATCATTTTTAGTTCTTTTACATTTTGTAAACTCACTTCATTGAATCCCACGAAAGTTCTGTTCTGTCGATTTTTATTCAAAATTTTTTTCCAATTGTTTTTCGTAAATTCAAATTCCGTTCAGTAAAAATTCATTGTGCTTTCTCCACGTGGGATTGTTTTGATCATCTTCTAATAATGAAAGACAAAGTTTCTGTATTTCAATTCGTGGTCTCAACTTTGCACTTTTTTTCTTAAAAAAATCAACTTTACAGGTTTGTTAATTTTCTATTCATCTGGGAAATGTCGCTTGACATTTTTGACTAGAAGCATTCATCTTTTTTAGTTCTTTTAGATTTAGTAAACTCACTTCACTGAATCCTACGAAAGTTCTGTTGAATTGATAGAAATAAAACAGTCCTATCGAAATATTTTAACAGCTAATATTAATTGGTTAAAAATTATTCTTCATTAGGCTTTGACAGCGTACATGGAGTCAGTGGAAGGACGCACATTGAACTACAGTGAAACAGCCCTTATTATTCAGAATTCAGCACACGTTTTCGAGACAAGGGTAGAAAAATTGTATCAGGACACGTGTGGATTGAGAAAGACACTCGATGAGCATGAGTAAGTCTTCGAGTATTTTTACTATTTGATCACCCACATATCGATGTCCATCAGTATTGCATGAGGTTTCAAAAAGATCATCCTCTCATTTTACTAAACCCTCCAGTCCATAAATTGTCAAATTGAATAGGGTCATGCCCTGAAATTTTCTGTTCTATTAGAAACAAAAATAAATATCTCCTTCATCACCTAAAATTCAATTAATCATTGAAAATTACACTCAGAACAAAAATCCTGATTTTGAGATTTCAAATATCTTAAATTGAGAATTTTGAAAGGATCAATTTGAGACGTGAAAATCCCCATTTGATCTTTCTGAAAGTCTCAAGTTGAGACTTTCTAAAATCCCAATTTAAGGCCCGGGTATACTATCTTTCGGATGTTATCTGGATTTTTTAAATCTTTCGTAATCCAAAATTGTCAATTGAGTGGTATATTATGTAGAAATTCTCAAAAATTATGATAGAATGATAACAAAAAAATAGAAAAAATTCTGAACTTTTTCAAAGAGCGTTTTTAATTGAGATTCAGAATGAGTTGAAAAAAGTGGAAATTACAAATATCTGATTCGCTGTGGCAAATTATCTATTAGCTGTCATTTTCCATGGTGGATAACAAAACACTAACTCCTCATGGGAAGTGACAGCTAGGTATCTCAATTTTCAAAACAGTGGTATGTAGTCATCTGCCATTTTTATGTGATAAAAGTGTGATTAAAAAATTCTCCAAAATATCACAACTTTTTTCAAAGAGCCTTTTCCGTAATAAATGTCTCTGTGCAGTGTGGGAAAAGATTTACGCAATCAGTCTTCCCCCTGCATGATATTGGGTGACAGGCCGCCATTTGTCACCGTAAATCAGATACATTTTTCAATTTCTTGTTATTCAACTTATTTTGAATATAAATTAAAAATGCTCTTTGAAAAAATTAAGAATTCTTTCTCCTTTTTTTTTGATTATTTATTCATCATTTTTCAAAACTTCTGCATGATGCAGGATTTAATTGACAATTTCAGATGACGAAAGATGGAAAAAAAACATCGAGATAACGTTCGAAAGATAGTACACCCGGGCCTTAAAGATTATTATTAACGTCAATGATACAACAAGGCAGCAGTACACTACATTGTTAACTTACCGCTATTTTACATGGTTTCAGCCCCCGGGCTTTATTCATAGTCAAGGGTATGGGTTTGGTGAAAACATGAGGTTTTGGGGTAGGAATAGCTATGGAATAGAGAAAAGCAGGTGAAAAACCCTAATTAAAGGGGTTGATTTAGTCTTCTGAAAATCTTAACTTGAGACTTTCAAATCTCAATTGAGACATTCAAAAGTCTCAACTTGCAAATTTCGAAACTTGAGATATTTGAATCTTAAGTTGAGAGTTTCAGAACTCAATTTAAGATTTTCGAAAATCTCAATTTGAGACGAATTTCAATGAGCAAAAAAATCAGGGAGGGAGTCGTGCTATTCCCTCAAAAATTCTAACAATAATTTTCACTATCCAGAGCTGAGCACGAAGCAGCAAAAGCATCAAAACCGCGTCAGCGATCCCACCGAAAAGTCCTGGACCTCGACAAGATTGAGCGTTTCGACTATTCCAAGGAAACCACCAAGAACTGTTTCCTCAAACATAAAAAATCTCAAAAGAAGATCAAACTGCTCAGCCAGAGGTACCCCCAACTGGAGAACACGTGCAGGCACAAGTTCTCCCTGAACGTCATGGACACTCAGGGTGAGAAGATGGGAAAGAAATACGACTTTCGTTGCAACCAACAGTTGACATCATCCCTCATGCTGGTGGACGAGCTGAGCCCAGACGATCTCCACGAGCCCCCAAGAGGCCTCCCAGAATCATCATTTCATCACGACTCCATCCCCAGTTGCTCAACCCCATATCCACCATCTCCAGGTCCTTCGAGCCTTCCTTCCCACCCTCAGGAAGATCCACCGCCGAATCCCCCCGTCTTACCCTCCACCTCCCCCCCAAGATCCTCATCCTCCCCCACCCCATCACAAGCTCAACTAGACCCCCAGGACACGTCGGACTTCGACACCAACGACTTCTGCGACCCTCACGACACAGAACCCCTGGATCAAACCGAGGAATCGGGCTACTGTACCTTCACAGACATCTCCACCTCTGGAACCCTCAGCTCAACCCAAAGATCAACGGAAATTCACGAAAATTCGCCCTCAGAAGTTCCCCCATCCCCACCAGCAATCGCTCCAGATCGAGTGGGACTCGAGACCCCCCCAGAGAACCCCTCCCCAATTCCCCCGACCCCAATTTCCTCCCAACTCCCTGAACCTTCTCAAGAAGACTCCACCTCTCTCCAACGAAAGAGGAATCGAGAGTCAGTGGAAACAGACGCTGGATACACGTCTGGAGGACCTGACGAAATTCCAAAATCCCCCGATCCCACCAGGCGCAGCAAAAGAATTAAAGAATCTGTTATGAGTGAGTTGAATGAAAATTCGTATCAAGCTATTCCGTTTCAAGGTCCAATTCCTGAGAAGTCAGTGAAGAGGAGGGCGACGTTCAAATTACCCTGTGATCCATCTCTCTTACGAACTGAGAGACCCAGGAAGAGGAAGAGTGACGGTGCAGCTGGGAAGGACCAGAGACTGAAGAAGCATCTGATGAGTGAAACTCAGAAGAAAAGTAAAATGCTCAAGTGTTCTCCATTCAGGTCTCTGTGCGATCATTACAGAGAAGCGCACCAAGAGGGCCAGAGGATTGTTGAGGAGAGCTTGAAAATGCTCAATGTCTCGCAGTTTGAGGCTGTTTTTGGGGAGAATGACGACTTGAAGGGTTTCTCTCTGAGGGGTAAGACTGGTGATTTGAGCTCTAACACGTGTTTAGGCAAGTCTGGAGCCGCTGGAGACGGCAAGGAGGAGATGACTTTGAAGCTGGGGACCGGAGTGGTTGATCATCGGTTGCAGGAGCTGCAGGAAACCTCTTGCTCGTACACTCCACCCCATTCTCCTGAGTTTTCTGGAGGGTTTGGCATTGGTGGAGAGGATGAACATGAGGAAGAGGAGGATTTGGTTGAGACTGAGAGCTCGAGTCTGACTCATCAGCAGAAGATTGAGAGGAGGATGAAGGAGCTTCAGAAGGAGTTCGATGTCAAGCATGACAGGGAGGAGGAGACTGCCAGGTGGTTCGATATGATGGAGACACTCAGGGCTGCGGAGAGGAGGCCTGTGTTCGATGTCAGGGAGTATGAGGAGAAAATTGTGAGGGGACTTACGGACGAGTCTGGGAACAGGTTGGGGTTCCAGGAGCTTGCCTGGAGGGAAGAGCCGGAGGATATCGCTAGGCTATTTGTGGCTTCTCTCCATTTGGTGAGAATTTTCCCATTATTTTTTAATAGTTTTTTAATCAATTGCACGGTTAGAAATTTTTTCCGGAAATTTTAAGGGACAAGTTTTCAAGTTTTCTGTTTGAAAGTGTAAAATATTTGGTGGAATTGAATATTTCATATTCTCTCCATTTGCTGAGAGTATTTGTATAGTTTTTAATTATTTTTCAAAGCAGTTACGTTCGTAAGAAATTAGTGCTGAATGTTTTTCTTGAAAGACTGAAATTTTCATGTATGATGTACCTGACAAATCAATTCATTTCTGAAATAAAGAAAATTGAAAAATTCTTCTCATTTTTAATCAATTGACGATTCAATGAAATGGGATTTTCGGATTTAGAATGAGTTTGAGAATGGAAGCTGCCACTAAAATATCAACATGAATAACTAAATTTTGTTGAATTTCGAAGATGAATATCAAATTTCAAGAAGAATTTGATATTAAATTGAATTCAAATTAGCTTCATTGTAAATTTGAATGCTATTATCTAAAATTTTTAAAAATAATGCAAAAAAATGATGAATAATTCTATAAATTTCTATTTTAAATGGTGAATCAGGGTCATAAAAAATTTCTCAATGACTCTACATTGTTGGTTAAAGTAGGGGCTTCTTAATAAAAAAGAGAATATAAGGGAGATCAAATAATATTTTTTTAATTGCGAGGCGAAACGGAAAGATGGAGCACTATCACCCGAACATAAAAGCCACTTTACTCAAAAATCTAATCCTTAAATTTTTTTATATTTGTTCCAGGCGAATACTTACACCGTAGATATTACCACAAGTGAGGATACATCCAACGTTCATCTGAGCTTGTTGAAACTAGATGAATCCCACCCGAGTTAAAGATCACACTTATCACCTGTTTCATCACATTTTAAAGCTTTGTTTGTACTATTACGCTTTTCTCACTCTTGATATTGACTAAAATACCGGTAATTCAGCTTTGTCAGAAGCGCGTGATGTCCAATTGACGAATAATTGCTTGAAAGTTCAAAGAATAATCACTTGTCATCATAATACATGATAAGTATTAAGAGACCACCGAAAGTGTTCCTTCGACACTATGAAAAGAAATCATTTTACTTTTTAGAGATTGACTTTTTCTACTGATAATTATCGTTATTTTAAAGTCAACTATTTATTTTCCAATGAAAGTTGATACGAAGGGTTGCTATTGTTAAATAAATTCGATTGGCAATATCATTAGGGTAATACATTGTTCACATATAGCTGTTAGGAATTTGTACATATGTTAAATTACATTGTTAAAGCATACTTTCATAATTTATGAATTTATCTGAAAATTGTACGTTGAATGTGAACTGTCATTCTGTCATTTTCAGGGAAAATATTTTTGTACTTCTGGGAAACACAAAGACAAATATTTAATTGATTGTACCGAGTGCAAAGAATCCTGGGAAAAGATGATTCGTTGGAATTTAATCATTGAGAATTCGAAATTTGTGTAACATTCCACAGAATAAATGAATTGCCGCCTTGACAGTACTATTCAGATTATTTGAACACATTTCGTATGATTTAATTGAACGACAAAAATTGTGCTTTTTGAGTAGCCTGAAATTAATGATTCCTGAAGGAATAATTAATAATTTCAGAAAAAATTTCCACAACCACGCATCTCAAGATATCGTTCTACACTCAAGTATCTCACGAGTATTGACTGAAACTTTGTATCTCAGTGAAAATTCAGAAACATATAAGTCAGGAGCTCCGATTAATCTCCATATAATTTCATTAATAACCTATGAATTAAATTCAAAGCAATCCCAAAGACTGAAGGATTGGGTTCAATTCAATCCTTTGCTCCCAAATTGTTGCAGTTTTCCTTGTTGCTTGAGAAAATCGTTCATGGTTTCAATGAATCAAATCTATCAATCATTTAGGGGACAGGATTAGCTGATCCCTAGTTACCCACTCATACAGAACGCCAATGCCGAAAAATTAATATCAATAATTGGAAAATTTCTCGTAGATATTAATGAATAGAGTGGCAAAGAACCAATTAGATAAAATGAATGAGGAGTTTCAAAATGATTCACCAACCCCTTCATTACCCAACTACATGAAAAATTAATGTTAGAAAAAATGAGATGACAACAATTTATCAATTACTAAAGTGATCGAATATTCGCAGTCATAAGAGGTTTGGTTTTCTGACAATTAACGACCGGTATGAAATATTCCCCAGACAAAGAAGTATGCGAAAATATCCGCCGGAACTCTCCGAGGAATTAAAATAAAAATGATAACGGCATTGAGCGAATTAGACGGTATTTAATCGGAGTTCTGAGTTGTGTATTTTTGAATTTTCTCTGAGATAGTTTGTTTTTATCATCTCCTCGGAGATATAATTTTTTAGTCAATATTCTTGAGATACTTGAGTTTAGAAATGTTTTTTGAATTACGTAGTTGACTTCAGAAGCCATCGAAATGAATTCAGTAGCGAAGTGCTAAAACGGTACCAGTCAATTTTGACTATTGACCAGTTCCCCATGAATATCTCAGAATCTAAGGGAGATAGCAAAATTTTTCTTATAACCTTTTTTGTAGAGCCGATTGAGAGCTACAACAAATGTAACTACGAAAATTTCGCTATCTCCGTTAGATTCGGAAATATTCCTTAAAAACTCAACTGGGAGGTAAGTCAACTTAAATCGTTTCACTACTTTGCTACTGAATTTCATTTCAGAAAATATTTTCCATTTCGGGAAAATATTGTTTTCACTTCCTTCTGCTTTAATATTTTTTTTTCTCTAACAGAAGAAGATGGAATAAATCATGTTCTATTCCAATTTATGTATGCATTGGATCGAAACACAAATTTTCTACCAATTTTTTTAAACAAATATTTCTCTAAATAAGTTTTTATATCTTGGAATATTTTGCATAACTTTGGGATGAGTTTATACTGTTTTCTCAGTATTTGAACTGTCTTTAGCTTCATTATCTTGGCCCAGTGAGAGTGAAGAGAATGAAGAAGACATTCCCATGTTTCAAATGGCAGCATTAGCTTGATTTCTCCAGATGGGTGGGGCTAGCTCGTCAAGTCGACGATCCAGGAAACTCACGCAGTTGGAGATGTGGGAGACAGTGTCCTCGAATGCCTTCATCTGACTAGTCGTGAGATTCGGAATTGCTTGCTCCACTAGTTTCACTCGATTATCGAGATTGTAGAAGGAGGAGCGAAGAGCTTCTATGTAGTCCGGGAGAATTGTGCGTCCTTCCACTGGGCCTGAAACGAAATCAGTCAAACTATTAAATGAATTTGCAGAAAATTTTTGGAATGAAAATACTTACAAAATTGGTGTACAGCTACGACATCAATTATGAAAGGCCTGAAATTTCAAAGAAGTCAATCAACATTTAATGAATTCAACGAATTTATATTTAATATTTTTTGGAAGTAAAATCACCAACAAATGGCAACAGAGAATTTTGCACGGCCAGTACATCCTCAAAAACCTGAGAAGAAAGTTACCGTGTTGAGTGTTTTCACTGAATTCATTTGATTTAATTTTTCTTTCGAGCTAATCAAGCTCTTGAAAGGTTCCATGAGACACTACTTGATCGATAACTAAATTATTGAGCTTTTTTTCATTAGAAAGCTCGATACAAAATTCACCAAAACATATTCATGCATTCGCTAATTATCTGGGAAATGAACAAAACCAAGGAAATTTCAAGAGGTTTTTCTATATGGAAGACATTTTGTAGAGATCTCGTAATAGTCATTCCTGACAGCATTCATTGAGATTATGGAATAAAGAATGATTAAATGAGTTTTGTGAACTTGTGTCATTTTACGAAGCTTCCATTTGGAAGCAAAATCACCAACAAATGGCAACAGAATTTTGCACGGCCAGTACATCCCCAAAAACCTGAGAAGAAAGTTACCGTGTTGAGTGTTTTCACTGAATTCATTTGATTTAATTTTTCTTTCGAGCTAATCAAGCTCTTGAAAGGTTCCATGAGACACTACTCGATCGATAACTAAATTATTGAACTTTTTCTCATTAGAAAGCTCGATACAAAATTCACCAAAATATATTCATGCATTCGGTAATTATCTGGGAAATGAACAAATCCAAGGAAATTTCAAGAGGTTTTTCTGTAGTGAAAGACATTTTGTAGAGATCTCGTACTAGTTACTCCTAGCATCATTCATCCAGATTATGGAATAGAGAATGATTAAATGAGTTGTGTGAATTTGTGTCATTTTGTTTCTCAATTTAATTAATCTACTTTCGTCCCTGCGAGAATTCTCTAAACAAACAGATTGATTCCGTTAAAAAACAGATACTTCTCTCTAGTGGATCCATTAATCAACGTTGACAGTGGAACGAGATTGTTGTCATGTCTTCGAATCTTTAACACCTTGGTCCCATCATCCTTGGCATCGATCCACCGGAAAATGGAGGCCCTCAGTTCGTCAGAAACGATGTTGGGGGTGAGGGTAAAAAGTTGGAGATTCGTCTGGAGATTTGCCTGCTCCGATTCTAAAATCAAGAGCCTTTCACTAATCTCTCCATCTTGCTGTCGACATTATTTGAAGATTTGACTTACCGAGCTTATCGTAACGTCGGATGAGAACCCACGTGTTTATTTCGCTCATTCCCATCCTATCGGAGTAAAAAACGATTTGTAAAAATAATCAGTGGATTTTTGCGGGAATGGAAGGAGTGATGGCAGTTTGACAATTGGATGGATTGGAATGATGAAGCGAAGTGGAGCTATCGTTTGTTTTGACAGGTCGATGTTGACGTTTATTGGGAACTGGGGTCGGCTCTTTAGGGCAACTTGGCTGAACTTGGCGGTCTATTCTGTACTTTAAAAAATTGACGGAAGAGGGCTACGAGTACCAAGAATCTCATCGAATAATTCCCTCTACATCTTTGTATAACATAAAAGTGACATTTACGGGTGGGGGTGTATTCAATTTCCATACGGATGGTGTGTGCTGATTTTAGTAGTTTCTTTCTCAATTGCGGTACAGAAATAGTATATTTCGTCATTAGGCCGAAAAAAGCTTTTCTGGCGAATATGAGGTTTGCAGCACGAGCCGAAGGCCAGGGCTGCAATCATATTCGTCAGAAAAGTTTTTTTTGGCCGTATGACGAACAATATTGTTTGTCATGACGGCCGTAGGCAGAGATTCACGGACGCGGAGCGGGTCCGCAATGACCCCCAAAACAATTGGGTTTTGAAGTTTACAGGCCGAGCCGAAGGCGAGGTCTGTATTCACATTCGTTGAAAACGAAATTTGTGCCCTTGTGCTCTAATGTACTATAATCTATGCGAACGGAAGGATGAGGGGTGGCTCAGATAGATTTTGAAATCCCCTCCCCTTGGCTAGAATTTGCAACTCTGTGTTATCATGCCCCCCCGCCTAATAAACACGTTATAAAATAAATTAAAACAAGGTAAAAATAATGATTATCTAAAGGTAATCATACGAAAATATATCCGATGCAATTCCTATCTTCTGTGCACTTTTGATTACCTAAAATAAAATAACAAGACTGGTCAGGCCGGTGAGGCCAGCCTGCCTACGACTACTGTCGACGTTACCGATCCGAGCAGGAAATTGACGCTACCGCCATCTCGTGGCATCCCCCCCTACAAGCTTCTATCATCATTCTTCACTAAAAATAATTTCATCCAATTGATGAATAACAATGCATTCAACGGTACCAATATGAATAAATATCTCATATATAAACTTTTATAATGTTTTTCGGGATCATTCCCCCTTTTCTAGCCCCAAAATCGACAATAAAAATCAACGACGAAACACCGTTGCTCCTGGATCACCAGGGATACTAAAAGGAAAAGGTGTGGCAATAATGAAAACACAGACTTGTAATTGCATGATTGCGTGAAACCATGATCATGGGTTTTTTTATTCAGTTTAATATTGAATGAGTACGGATAAACAAATTTGAAAAACGCTGACAGATCCCACTAGTAGCAATGTTATTAACTTGATTAATTTGTCAGTTGAATATTTCTCAACGTAAAAACAATGAAATGATCATTACAGAATGATCGCGAAATCCTCACAAATGAAAGTATTACTGAAAATAAAGAACTGTGCATTAGAGGTAATGTTTCTTCCATGATTTTTCGACGGAGGCGTAGTAACTAATTGGACATCATGAAAAAATAAATTGTAAAATTGTCCCTCGAAATATTTCTTCATCGACGAAGTTGGAATTCATTAACTGCAACTGTTAATAAACTCACAATTTTCGTTTGTTGACAAATTCATCAATTTGAGGAATTTTTTCCTTAAATAAATGATGCCATTCATTAAAAATTCCTATAAAACGTTAATCATGGTCATAAAAAACTACTTTAATTGTTAATAACTTGGGAACGGAATCTAGATTTTTTTGAAAAAATTAAAATAACGACTGACTGACATTCACTTTTTTCGAAAGGACTACCTGAAACTATAGATGAACAGATTCATGAACTTCGACTTCTGACAAATCTATCAACTTCAACTGTTGAAAAATCCATCAGTTTCAGCTCTCGATGAATCTATCACCTTCAACTACCCAAACTGTATCAGATGTGCATGGCATTCCATCATATGCTGTGTGATACTGTCCCTCCGTGCTAAGGGGCACCTGTAATGATCAGCAGAACATGTAGGACACTCGAAATATCCTTGATGATGTACAACCCATACATGATCCTCCATGTTCATTCTATTGGTCTCAGTCTTTTCGCACCTCATGCAGCTGTACTCGTCTCCATTGTCCATGTATTCATCCTGCCAATCAACTTCAAAGAATTTCTCATCTGAAACTAGAATTGAATGATTCCCCACCATGATTTCAACACTCTTCGTTCCTGACTCGGACATTGCTATCTCCATTTTCGTATCAATATCATCAGGTTGACTACCTGATGACGATTCATATCTGTCTGACACTTTACATGAAGAGTCGTCATCATCTGAATACGTAGACCCATCGTCAGTCAATTTTAGGTCAGATCCTTTGTTCTTCATAGCGTCTTGTCTCCCATCAGGCTCTTTTTGCAACTTATGGATCTCCCTTACTTCCTTTTCTTCCTGAGGACAACGCATCTCATCAGGCGAAGCAGAAGATTTATCACCATTCTGCTGCAGCTTAACCACCTGCTTTTCAACTGTCTCTGTATTCTCCAATTTCTTCTCCTGCAGCAATCCCATTTTCTTCACAACTTCGCGAAGATTTGAAATGGTGTTCTGGGATGATTGTAACTCGTCCTCCAGCTCCTGCATACGTGTGAGAACAGCTTTCTTCTCCAAAATTGCAGTTTTTTCTATCTTTATCTTCTGATTCGTAACGTAATTCAGCTCAGCACTGAGAAGTTCGAATTCCTTCTGAGATATAATGCTCTCTTCGAGCTTGTCTTCCAACTCGAGAATCTTCGTCTCTGCAATCCTCAACTTCTGTAGGGACTCTGTATCCTCCAGGGACTCCGGAAATTCTTCAGAGTTTGAGGGAATTGATTCTTTCAGTCTTGTATTTTCCTTTAACAATTCTGAAAATTTTTCCTCCATACCGATCACCATTTGGGACATCGCAGCTTCTGCAGATGTTTTGGCTTCGAGTGCCTCATGAGCACTTCTCACTGCTTTATCCAGATCCACTTGGAGTTGGTCTATCAGCTCTTTGTCTACTTTGATCTGAAGCTGCAGCATTATTCTCTCTTTATCGAAAATCTCCTCGATTTCTCTTCGTATCCTGTGCAACTGGGTTACAGTCGCTTCCGACTCGGACAATCTGACTCGGAGGGTCATGAGTTCTGTTTTTAAACATTTGTTTTCAGTCTCAGAGTTGGGCACAGAAACAATGCTTGGATTATTGGGGTTTGAGGAATTCGACGTCTCGAGTTTTGGACGCTTTGCCAGTGGTTCATGACATTCATGAGATAAAAATGGGGTTGATGAGGCCTGTGGGCGTTCAATGATACTTACATCCATCTGGAAATTTCATCTGTTATTGCTACTTGCTCGGAAACATTCATTCGCGGGGCCATTCATTTGGAAATCTGGTGACACAGTGATTGCTAATTTTACGTGATTCCAGGAAGATTTCCATGATTTCATGCAATCATTGATTTCATGTGATTGCCTGGGGTTTTTTGGGGATTTCGCGATTTCAAGTGATTTTAAATTTTCAATTTCATCTATTTCGTGAAGCAGGGTGAATGGAATAGGAGGGAATGGGGATAGACCCCTGAGGGAAATAAATGCATCATATTAATACAAGAAGGCTCAAGCATAAGAGTTACAAGGGGGGTAAATATAGAAATGAGACTATCAAGGTGAAGCCATGAGAATCAAATATATATATTTTTCATTCATTCCATTAAATATTTATTTCTACCGCAGTCAAAACATTCAACATCGTGTGAGAAATTCTCAGAGAATATCGATTGCTGATGTTGTATTTTTTTGTTTTTTTGTCTTCTCTCGCAGACAGTGTCTCTGTCGCTAATACGATGTTTCGATACTTTCTGAGGATTTCAGGAGGTCGCACAAGAAAATACACGTTTTTTTACCGATTTTATTTTTTTCTATGTGTAACTTAATACGTGTAAATGATCATACGCAGAAAAATACACCACAAATAAATCGAAAAAGTTTCTTTCTCGTTTATGTATTCGAAAGGGTCTCATGAGTTGCTGATATAATGATTTTATGATATTTTACCGATTGCAAGTAATTTCAATTGAAATTCCCTGAGATTAATGAAATCTCAAAATTCCACCGATTTCACTTGATTTCATAGGATTTCAGGTATTTGTGGCGTAGTGGCCATGTAGAAGGTGAGACGGAGGGGAATCTATTGTTCTCTCGCAGAAAACCAATCACTGAACAAAAAAAACGATACTTCAATTACAAATTTTCAATCTATTTCGACCGTTGTTGTGTTCGAAACATGTTTTTAATAATTTTTCTTTTTTTCCCAAATATTTCAAGCCTTCTTTCATTTTTCTAGTTTGTCTTTTGGATAATTGGAAAATAATTAATATGAATAGAAAAAGTGACAACGACGTGCCGTTCGAGGTATAAGTTGGCAGCACTGATTTACTCAGCTGTTATGTTCCTTCCCATAGCGAAATGTATTATCACAACTGCATTCATATTTGCCGCGCTTTCCCCTCCACAATTTCTGACCTCGACGTTGTCGCTATTCGCAAGATCCGATCAATTAGCCCCTCATGTATAGATATTCCAAATTTTTATTTTTTTCCTGATTGAAGTAGTTTTGAAGAAAATTGTGAGCTAATAAAAAACATTTGCTAGTTAGTACTTTTTTTAAAATAAATTTTTGAAAAATCACTCCTGAAAAAAAAGGCGCTATGGCGCTAATGGCGTGCAGAAGTCTTTAAAGATGACAAATGTCTCTAAAGATGATGTCTGTTTTCAATTGAAAAGCCCAATTGTGACAACATGGTCCAGTGGGGTCTAGGAGTCTCCCCTGGTTCAAAACCATCTTTAGAGGCCCTAGCACGTCATTTCTCGATCCGCTCTTTCATTTGAGCCCAAAAAAACATTCATATCTTGTCTGACATCGCCTTCAATTGAAAGCCCGAGTTGAAAACCCGAGTTTATAGCAAAGATGTCAGACAAGATATGAGTGTGTTTTTGGGCTCAAACGAAAGAGCGGGTCGAGAAATGGCGTGCTAGGACCTCTAAAGATGGTGTTGAACCAGGGGAGACTCCTGGACCCCAATGTTCTATACATACTCCTAGACCCCATTGTCCTCCTAGACAATGATGTCACAACTCTGCTTTTCAATTGAAAACAGATATCATCTTTAGAGACATTTGTCATGTTTAGAGGCTGTAGCACGTCATTTCACGATCCGCTCTTTCATTTGAGCCCAAAAAAACATTCATATCTTGTCTGACATCGCTGCTACAAACTCGTGTCTACAACTCGGGCTTTCAATTGAAAAAAAAAACTAAATTGAATGGAAAAAATTTGAAAAAATTCATGCCCAATCAGTATTATCTAGATTAGATTTCGCAAAATATTGATATTTTTTCAAACATTTCCCTCTTATAAATAAATAATAAAACTTATTTGCAAAACGGTGGATTATTTTTTATGAGTTGTCAAAAAAATTCTTGATTTTTTCAAATCTAATGAAAAAAAAACTCAGATTTTAATCGTTGATTGCAATGGAAATATTGATTTTCACATAAGACACTGGGGGAAATCCTGATTTTTAAACATTTGTTCTTTGAAAAATCAAAACGATAATTAAATTGAGAAATAAATTAGAATTCCGAATCTAATAGAGCTTTCTGCAATTTTTTTGCAGTTTCCAATAATCTTTGAAATTACCGTAAGGGTAGAGCTACCTTAATACCTTCAGTCTTGAATGGCACAGTGAATTCACTAATGAATGGCCCCGCATATCCATTCTTAACCTACCCAGTTGAATCAATGGCTGATGTTTTTGTACTCACCTTCAGATTCTTTTTTAGAGCACAGAACAGTCAATGTTAATTACATTTATGACGATCATGGATCAATAAAAGCTGGTGAATATTTCCGAAGGAAATTATTTTACTTTAGAATGGGTCTTGGATGACAGCAATCGAAGAGAGTAGTGAGGAGTAGGGAATGAAGAGAACGCACATCACCATTTGTGTCACGTGTCATGTGTCTGCGCATGCGTCATATTATGCGGGAAATATAAAAATGAGATGCATTTATTAATCACATACTATTATAATGTAAATTCATGCATTTTCATTTCTTGGGACTGATGAAAAAATAAAGAAATACTCATATAAACACTGTAATTTCTGCAATTTATTTGAAATTGGGTTGAATTACGTGGGAATTTTCTAAACACTTTTCTATGAAACTAAGATTATTTGAAATGAAATCATCAATGGATTCAGAGCATGGTTGGGGATATTTCGCAGATGGGAGTTTCAAATATTAAAAATATAAAGCAAAAATTGATAACGGAAAAATTAATTGCATCTATAAAGAGCAAAAATGAATGTGAGAGCGAAGATTGCGTTAGGTTGTCTCGTGCCATTCTGTGATTGGTCCGACGTTCCACCACCCTGTGATGTCATTAGTGATTTCAAAGTGTTGAAAATCTTCAACTTTCGACAATTAACTATTAATTACTATTATTTCTATTGCTTATAAACGGAAAATGAATCATTTAAGGCCAAACCTTGAGATCAAAATTTTTTAAATTCATGCAAATTCTTTGCTCGATAAAAAAAATTAAAAAAAAACGTCGTGTAATATTTTCTCCCAAAATCACTCATCAAGACAATTCAATATTCAACAGGATATGGAAGATCATTGTAATGTTTTGTCTTTCACTATTGAATTGAACAGCGCAAACAATTTTCAAAAATAAAATGAAATTCATGCATTAATGAATAAAATTTAAATACTGATATACTCCAGTAAAGTTTCACATGAACTACTCAACAAAAAAAATCAAAACATTTTTCCATCAAAAATAAAATAAAATTGTATAATCCTTGAAGCTTCTCAGAGTGTGGCATGCTGTTTCCTTACATGCCTGCTTAAATTGCTCCTACAGGTAAAACGCATTGGACAATGAGTGCAGTAAGGGCACTGAAATCTTCTATTATAATGTACAGGCCACACCTGATCCTGAGCTTAATGTCTCTTGCCAAATCGATAAGAGCATTTTTTACAAATCCATTCTTCCCTCGTGCGTTCGATCTTTTCAATCCAGTTCAACTTGATAAATTTTCCGCTTGTAGCTGTGGTATTCCTTTTTCCTATTGGCGTTACTTGCTGTGGTTCACATTTTGATCTGCCTGATCCTTCATTGACATGAAACTGAGTATCAAGAAGAAGATATTCTGCTTCTGAGGCTTGCAGTTCAAATGAAGAATTGCCATTACAAGCCTTACTTAGAAATGTGACATTATTATGTGGATCTGATGAGTTAGGCATCACCCCATCACCACCACCAGGTGATTTACCCATTGATTCGTGCTCATGTTGTTGAAATTTCTCAATGTCACGCTCCTCATCTGGAATACTACATCATTGTTCCTCCGCACCTTCATGACGTGACGAGATGGTGACTCTTGCCAGCCGCAATTCCTCTTTAAACTTGTCTGCACGTTTCGCGTTTGCTTGTAGTTTTTTCCTCTCGTAATAGGTGACTATATCTGGAGTCATCGTCTGGATTCTCACCCTCGTTTCCTTGAGTTTAAAATCCTTAGGCGTCAATTTCTTTCGAGGCATTAAATCATTGCCAAAGCTCTGACCACTTTTTCGAGGCAAAGGCACTGTTGACGTGCCTTCAGAGCTCGAATTCACAATCAAGAGTATGATTTCAGGCATTTGTTCAATTATGGGCTTCAGTTTGGCCACTAATTGACTAAACTTGAGGTTTGCTGCAGCCAATCCTTCGCGTGCCTCTTGGGCGTCTTTCGTTGATCTCCCCAAATCCTCTCGCAATTGTGCTATTGTCTCCTTATCCAATTCTGCCTGTCTCCTCAGTCGATTCTCTTCTGCAAAGAATTTGCGCTGGCGATACGAAAAATTTTCGAGTCGATTTAATTTTCTGCGGAGAACTGTGCATTCTCTCCTCATACTCTCAGCGTCCCAATAAGACTCAAGTGCATCAGAGTCAAGTCTCCGTCGTTTCGTAGGTGGCCCGTCGTCATCGAGCAGTGGAGATCGTGTACCGCTTTCTTCGTCCTCGTCCATCTGAAAAATTTCCTACGTCCTTTATCGTCATGAGATAGTGGGACGACATGAGCTTGTTTCAAAGTGTTATGGGTATCCCATAGATGATTAAGGAACTTCCGCAGTAAATTTTGGGGCTACGGAGTGGGGGAAAATATCAAAGGTTCCGACACTCCGCTGCATCCTTTGAAAAAAAAAATAATGAAATGACGAAAAGTTCATGGGTGGATTGAAATTTCGACGTTTAGGTTTCTTTATACTTATTATTCATGATTAATCAATTCCAAATGATTATTATTCCAAAATATGTTCATCCGAATTTTTTAACAAATAAAAATTTTCATGAGAGATTTGACAACCACGCATTTTTGTTCGATGCAGTTGGTATTCTTGTCTCCCGATAAAATCCTATACTGTACTATAGAATCTATAGTATATGCTTTGGCTGAGTTCACACGGTGGCCTCCGTCGTGCGCACTCTAACCTCCCTCAACGTTGCCATGTTCAGCCATCAGGGGAGCGATTTTGCTCGTTTTGTCGACATAATATCAAATTTCAACCAATCCTAGTTGAGTATTCCAGATCCAGGACTGTCATTGGTTGAAATTTACGATTTTATGTCGACATAAAACGGGCAAAATCGCTCCCCTGTTTACTCTAACGTAACTAAAATCCCAAACTATGCCAGACATTTTCAATAATTACAAATAATCCCTGTGGTGACGGCTAATGAACCTGTCGGGATATGTTCCTTAAATGTATACGGTTCTATACGTGAAGCATTTGAATTTTTATTCCATTGTCGATTATTTTTTTGTGATTTTTGAAAAAGTGGTGCCATGAGACTCTGTGTTAATGACACATTCTTCATATTTTCTCCTCAACAATCTACGTGGTTCAACGTCTGGTTCAACGTCTCTGCAGTCCATTTCATTCTACTCCCATATACTTACTGCGGGAGTTCCTTAATCTGATGATTTTTGTATGTGATCATTTTTTATACTCAAAAACAAGCAGGGCTCGAGCCTTTTCGACAAAAGCCACGTGGCAGTTACTTTTTGCGTCATTGGTCTCTTTATTTATTTTTATTTCTACCAATTTCATTGATAGTAAGCTTGCGAATGGATCCATAGGCAAGATCCATGATTCCCTATCCTTGTGACAGGCATACAATCGTCAAAAGAAGTTCGTAAAGAACGTGAAGTTGCATCCTGTATAAGTCTATATATGGGATGCAACTTCACGTTCTTTACGAACTTCTTTTGACGATTGTACAACCGTAATCACATGCTACAGGCCATCCACAGGAAATTATACAGCCTTCTAATGAAAATAGGTTTATACCAAAGGTTGAATATCTCCGAAATGGCTCGGCCAATTGCGCCTATCCAAAATACCGGCTTTCAGTATTGTAAGAGCTATAATCACACCAAATTTCAAATTATCTTAATTTTTTTTTGAAGTTATCGGGTGAAGTAATTTAAAAAAAAAGAAAACACGGCAATATCTCTAAAAATTTTGTATGAATGGGTATAAATGTTGTGATTAATCTAGATAGAGACGATCGAGACGAGTATTTAAAAAAAAAATTGGAATCGGTGCAGTAGTTTCTGAGATATTGAGGAAAAACTAAATTTAAACAAGTTGTCATATCTCAAGGCAATTGATTTTATTCAAGTCATCCCACTTCATCTTTCAGAACCAACAATCCCTAACCTCATTGAATTCGACAATGACAATAATTTTGTTTGAATTCTTTCATTACCTTTAGATTCTTCCGCTCAAACGCCAATTAATTTTTCCAAAATAGGTTTTGGAAAATTACTCTGTGGTGTTCAATATCTTGGTAGCTATTGCCGCCTCTTCAATTTTTCCCATGGCACGTGTTGGAAAAACAAAACTCGGCCATTTTTCATGGATCACCTGACGTCATGCGCATACGAATGCGCGTAAGGGGAATCGGTTGCACGATCGATGCTTCTCGAAGGGGGGTCGCTCAAGAGGGGAAGTACCATTTTTTATGGAACCAAGAAAGTTTCGTAAACGACAAATCGACGTTACCGACCTATTTAGCATTTTGGGGGACCGTTACAAATCAGGAAATTTGTCGATAGTCTTTTGTAGTTGGCAAATTCATGACATCATATGACTGTCACAAGAAGATCATTTTTTTATAATGGGATTATCTGAAATGACGGCCATTTTACATCTTTAATTCGCTCTATCATTGAGTTTCAATGAAAAATTTTATATAAGAAAATATTTAACTGACGCGAAGACCTAATCTGATAGATATCCATTGAAATATTGAATTGTATTTACATGAGTACTTTTGGGAGAGGCATTAAGGATTTGCTCATCCAATTCGCATAATGAAGCTATTCAGCAGTCTAACACACATGAAAAGATTTAATAGAAAAACCAAGCGCTTCCTCTAAGAAATTCTATTGAAGTTTTATTGGAATTTTATTGAAAAATTCGATTTTTTTGCGCCATTTCTATAGATTATGCATCATTACCATGTCGTTTCATTAAGAGATATTTAATAATAGGAAAAAACTCAACGGATATTGATTTTTCTACAGAAATTCTTGTGTGTAAGTTTTTCTCGCTGTATTTTTATTTATATCTCATAATAAAATCCACAAAAAAAAATTGAAAAATCATGCCAAAGAATTCTTGTAAAGTTCCAATAGAAATTCAATAGAATTTCTTAGAGAAAGCGCTAGATTTTCCACCGTGAATTGATTTCTAAAAAATTCATCAAAAATCGTATTGAATGTGGTCAATTTTAGTAATGGGTAAAACGTAAGATGAAAATTCTCGGCAATTTTGCATTGATTTAATCGGTAAAGAAATTCCCAATGAGAAAATACCTTCACTATTGAATTCGAGACAGCGAACGGTTTTGGAAAAATCCAAATAAACTTATTCATTCATCAATAAAATTGAAAAATTTAAGTATATTGGAATATTTGTTGTATTTCCAGGACTTTAGTGAAGTTCTACATCACTATCATACAAAAAATAATACAGAAATGTTTAACAACAGAAAATGTTTATGAAATGGTATGATTCTTATTTCTGAGGAAATTTGGGTTCCCTATAGGCAGATGGACGGCTCAGAATGGTATTTTTCCACTTCCTACACAAGATAAATTAAATTAATTTTTTTTGGCGATTTCGTTTTTCGCGATTATCGGAAACTATGAGAGATAGAGCCTTAAAACCTATTCCATTCGATTCCTGAGGAAATTTGGGTTTCCCATAGGCAGATGGACGGCTCAGAATTGTGTTTTTCCACTTCCAACGCCCTATACAAGATAAATTAAATTAATTTTCTTTGGCGATTTCGTTTTTCGCGATTATCCCGGAAACTATGAGAGATAGAGCCTTAAAACCTATTCCATTCGATTCCTGAGGAAATTTGGGTTCCCCATAGGCAGATGGACGGCTCAGAATTGTGTTTTTCCACTTCCAACGCCCTATACAAGATAAATTAAATTAATTTTCTTTGGCGATTTTTTTTTTCGCGATTATCTCGGAAACTATCAGAGATAGAACCTTAAAACCTATTCCTTTCGATTTCTAAAGAAACACCTCAGGTCGGGGCAATATGGTCGGGATCAAGTTGGTCTTGTCGGTGGCGTTCTCACTGGCCCATGACTTTCATGGCAGTTTTTATTTTTTTGTTACAGAGATTAAGGAATGAAAAAGGGTCAGTTGACGGGGAATGTAATTCTCCGTCGAACTGCCTTTTTTTCATCACTTAATCTCAATTAGGAGAGGAGAGGTGAATTTTTAATTCGCAGGTGAATGGTCAAAAGTCACTGTGCGCCGCGAAATATTTATTTTTCATACTGGCCCATGACTTTCATGGCAGTTTTTATCTTTTTATTACAGAGATTAAGGGATGAAAGAGGGTTAATTGATGGGGAATTTAATTCTCCGTCAACTGCCGGTTTTTTTCATCCCTTTATACTGGACATAATTCAGTACGTTCTGCGCATGCCCAGCGCCAAGGAGAGTGAGACAGGCTTCCTTGAAAATCTACCTCTCTCTGGCTCGTTTTCCGCTAACGGGCATAGCATGCCAATGCCCTTTCCAGTATTACTCTATTTCAGTGAGCGTGACAGACTTGCGAGATATCGATAGTTATCGACCTTAAGTGTAATGTACTATTTCATCACGCTGTGCGAAAAATTAACTTTTTAGTCACGCTTCGCGTGCCTAAAACGTCCCTTTTCCACACATTATGATGAAAAATATCATTCGATACTCGTGGTAAAAGTGTTTTTTGGCTCGTGGGAGGTTTATAGCACGAGTCGAAGGCGAGTGATATAATTGGGATATAATTGGGATTATATCACTCGCCTTCGGCTCGTGCTATGAACCTCCCACGAGCCAAAAAACTCTTCCGCACTCGTAACGAAATATACTATTTTAGAATTGGAATAGGATAGAATAGGCTCGCACTCATACTATTTTATGCTTAACGTAAAAAATATGAAGCAATCTCATAATTCTAGCTATTGATTCCAATCAACTTTGTTCGAAGAAAACTATAGTAAACCCAATTTAAAGAAAGTTGAATTATTCCATTTTCCTCTGACATAAATTATTTAGATAATTATGATTCGTTAAATTTATGTTTCATAGACTGCTATACAATTATCTTTTGTTTTTTAGGCGGGCTTCATAAAAATTCGACGCAAGACGATTGTACTCATGAAAACTACCTTACTTTTTCCATTCGTTCGAAATATCCGCCACTATCGATCACTTTATAGACTAAACTTACATAGAAAAATCTAGTGAATCCATTCTTGGGCTTCTATTAATAGTATATTTCGTTACGAGTGCGGAAAAGTTTTTTGGCTCGTAAGAGGTTTATAGCACGAGCCGAAGACGAGTGAGATAATCCCACGAGCCAAAAAACACTTTTCCCACGAGTATCAAACGATATTTTTCATCACAATGTGTGGAAAAGGGACGTTTTATGCACGCGAAACGTGCCTAAAAAATTACTTTTTCGCACAGCATGATGAAAAATATTGTACAGCTGCTAAATACAAAACAATCAGACTAAATCTTTCTATAATTGATTTAGAGTGGTATATTATGTAAGAATGTAAGTGTGTAATTACGTAAGCATATAATGATGTAAAGATGATAATCAATCTGGTTGATGGTGATCAGTATAATTTATTCAGAAAATGAAAATGTAAAGAATGACCATAAGTTGTATTAAAAAAACAATTACTCTACGGACAAACATAAAACTGACAATACAAAATTGAAAAAAACAATCTATTTTTATTATTATCCCATGAAGTTCAAGTAACACAGGTAAGCATAACACCATTTATTGAACGATCAAAGAATTCCGTTGCATTACTAGAAAGTTTATCTGCAATGAACATCCAACTCGCCCACTATAACTCACATCAAGTTGATCTATTCATTGAGACAGTAGAAATTCGATATTCGGTGCTTATCGAAATGAATAATCCTATAATCATCACTCCATAATCGCAGCATTCGCACATATGGAAGTATAATTGAAAACTACGAATAGAATTTCATCCCCATTATAAATAAAAAAACGAAAATCTGTATCGAACGGAACATTTCCAAGTTCTCAGGAGTTTAAGTTTGAAATAACCCATCGAAAATGATTCTCAAAGACTTTTACCACAAGCGCAGCTGCTAAATGGCTGACATGAAAGAAATGAATCCTTAACTGTCTCCTACCGCCATTTCCCAATAGCTGATAAATATGCCGACTCCTACTATCGATTAATCTAGCGATTCCAATCATTGATAAGTTCACCAACCCCAGCTATTCGTGAATCTATCAACTTCAACTATTCGTACTAAAACAAATAAGGACGAGCTCTCTCATTATGTTGTGTGATACCGTCCCTCCGTCCAAGGGAACATGGACAATCATCAGGAGAGCACGTGGCTCACTGGAAGTATCCACAATAATATGTAACGCACACACGATCTTCAATGTTTATTCTATTGATCTCACTCCTCTCCATCATCCGTGAACTTGTTCATCCGATCAACTCCGAAGGATTTCTCATCCGAATGGAATGATCCCCTACCATCATCTCAAGACTCTTCGTTGCTGCTTCTTGGCCTACAATCTCCTCATGATCTTCAACTTCTCCACGTTCACTACCCGTTGATGGGTAATCTCTACCTAGAATATTGCACAAATCATCATATGAACAAGTAGACTCATTGTGTGTCGACTCGAGGTTAGATCCCCATTTGTTTACGTCCTCTCGTGTGTCCTCGAGCTCTTCACTGTTCTGCTCCAACTCGTAGATACTCGTCAGTGTATCAGCCGCGAAGACAAAGGCATACGTCAATTGTTGCGGTTCCTGTATAGCATAGACATATGTCTCTTGAGGAGACATAACGTTTGTACCAGTGGGAGATTGATTTCCACTCCTTTCGGAGTCATATTCAGGACTCTTCGAATATAATTCCTCATTCTCCTGCTGCATAGCCACTTGCTCTTCAACTCCCACTGGAATCTCCAGTTGTTTCTGCTTCAGCAATTCAATTTCTTCTACAAGAGTTGAAATAATGTTTTTGGAGGATTGTAACTCGTCTCCCAGCTCCTGCACACGTGTAAGCAGTTGTTTCTTCTCAAGACCCGCAGTTTCTTCTGACTTCAACCTCTGATCCGTGGCTTGTTTCAGCTCAACATTGAGAAGGTAAAATTCCATCTGAGATATCATGTTGTCTTCGAGCTTTTCTTCCAACTCGAGAATCCGTTTCTCGGCAATCTTCAGTTTCTCCAGAGACTCTGTATCCTCCTGGGACTTTGCAGATACTTCCGAGTTGGAAGGAATTTCATTTTTCAGTCTGGTATTTTCGATCAACAATGCTGACATCTCTTCCTCCATTCTTGTCTTTATTTCGGAGAATTTGGCTTCTGCGGACCTTTTGGCTTCGAGTGCTTCATCAGTTTTTCTCATTGCTTCATTCAGAGCCACCTGCAGTTGGTCTATCATCTCTGTCTCCACTTTCGCCTGCCACTGCTGCATTGTTTTCTCTTTTTCGAGAAGGTCCTCGATTTCACTTCGTATCCTGTGGAGTTGTGTTATGGTCGCTTCAGACTTTGATAATCTTACTCGGAGGGTCATGAATTTTGTCTTCAGATGTTCGTATTCGGTCTCAGTATTGAGTACAGAATCGATGTTTGAATTATTGAGACTCGAGGGACTCAATATGTCGAGTTTTTGCCGTTTTCGCGGTGGTTCATCATCTCCAGGTGACAATGGGGATGATGAGGATTGGGGGTGAATAATACCACTTATATCCATCTGGAAATTTAAATTGTCATTATGATTACTATATATTTGTTCGAGCACAACGATTCCTAACCTATGAGGCATCAATGACCGATGCTTCAACTCTATTTATTGCACTCACCTCAAGATTATTCTTTGAAGAAGCAGAAAATAACTAATTGTGAGATATTTTAGCGATAATTTCGGATTAATTTTGGTGGTGGCTTGAAGCCGATGAAATGTTTTTCTATTCTTGATGTGAGGCCAATAATCGAGGAGAATGTACTTGGCCATTTGTCCTACTGGGCCATAATGTTTATATACTGTAGGACTGGCGAGATTGTTCCACTGAGATGAGTGGTGGGGAAATGGGAGTTCAATGCATAACCTACAATTCCCAGTGGAACTCTTTTGCCTGCCCTACTGTACATTGGTTCAGTTCTCGGGGTTTAAGTGACCCCAAGCCAGAATAAGTATCCCATGTAGAGATGCGAAATGACCGTCATTTCGTGATTGTGTCATATGACCAAAAAATGACGGTCATGTGACGTCCCGAAATTTCTAATGCCAAATGACGGTCACATTCTTTTGTGACCGTCACAAAGAATTTTTGACCGTCAAAAGAGTAAAATAGTAATTTCCGTTACCAAACCATCTATATAGGTGCAAAATGACCGTCATAGATATATTGTTTTTTGTGACGATCATATAATTTCTACATAATTGACATCGTTTATTCGTCCAATTTATTATTGATTATCAATTATTGTTTATTATAAGGTTCTTATGGAAGACTCGAAATGTATGTGTACAACTGTACAACAGCTTTTTTTAATTATAAAATTATGAAACATGTGCTTATTACATATATTTTTGCATACTCATGAGAGAATGATTACACTTTTCATCTTTGGAACAAAATAAACGAAGTCAGGAGTTCTAAATACTAAAGTAAGTAAACAAAGTCAAGAGTTCTAGTTAATAAAAAAAAAATAGATGAATAAAAAAGTGTTTCATCTATATAGAGGTAAAATGACCGCACTCATTTGGCAGACCCACTCCGGCTGTTCATTTTATTTTTCTTTCAGGTAAAATTAATAATAATTTGTGTAAAAAAACCATCAGTATATTCATAAATGATAATCTGGTCGGTTTCAGCGAATAAATCAAATCACAAGGATTACATGGTCTAAATGAATGTATGCCAATTTCCAAAATTTGACTTCCAGTTGGCAATGTTTAAGAGTTATTTGTTTATTTGTTATAAAAAAAATTAAATAAAGCATGTAATTAGCCTGAACATTATTAAAAATATGACTTGAAATTTTGCGTTGCCGTAGTTGATAGCAAATCGTTTGTAGATAATGAATCAGGTTGTCTTAACGGTTTAAAAGTATTTTTATTTCCTCCTATCTAAAAAAAAGAGAGCACTGTCATGACGACCACCGCAAATGTCATGGCGCACTGCTCATGGGCACACTTTTGATGAGAATTTTTGGCGAGTTCTCATGTAAATTTTCATGAGGATGAGCAGTGCGGCTGCGACGGCGCTATTCAAGAAAGTGCGCGGGAATTACAAATCGGATTTCTAACCTCGGATTAGAGAAATAAGCATCGTATATACATACATTGAATACATCAGTGCCCATTTTCTACACAAGGATTTGTATATAATTATTGGAATGGAAAATTCCAACGAATTTTTCGAGGAAACTGACTTAATTTGTCATTTATTACCAAAAGAAATTGAAATCAACAAGAAAATTGAGTCGGACTCAGTTAGGTAAATAACTTGAAGGGGGTTGACTGGGTCAAATTTTGACCTTTGTGGGGTTCATACTAGGTGCGTCCCCCGTCGCGAACCCTGGAGGTAAATGTTAAGAAAGAGGGCCCTACCATCGATCCGATGGTTAAGTTTTCAGAAAGATCGGTGGTGGGATCCTCTTTCTTAACATTTACCAAACTTGATATTTACCTATCAGTATCCCAAGAAAATTGGAATTCCTATATTAGCTAATTACCAAAAGTCCTACCCCCGGCCCGGTACAACAAGGCCTATTCAACCTATTGTAACGGAGCTAATTTGGTCCGGGCGCTACGGTCACTCAAACAGGACTCTATTCGCCATCGCAAGGTAGATGTGGGAGCCATCAAGTGGTCTCTACACTAACTACTCTTGGCGGGTAACCAATGAGATCACTGGGTTCTTCTTGATCTCATTGGTTGAGCTTCGTCATTGGTCCCCTCCTAGGGATCTCATTGGTTGCCCCCCAAGAATAGTTAGTTTGGAGACCACTTGGTGGCTCCCACATCTACGTTGCGATCGCGAATACCCTTCCCTGCAGTAGAGGTACCTCTATTCCCTTCATGCATGAAGTGTAGGCTGACACAGCTTACAAATCTGGTGACAATTGCCAGACAGAGGGGATCGATCGCTCCGTTCTTTTCTCCTTACCTTCGGGTGGGAATCCCCTGTTTTATTCTTTCTTCATTATAATTTCTCATCTATGATGCGTATTCACTTTCATTTCAGAATATCATTACATGAATGATGGATATTTGCGAATGAATTTGCTCAGATTGACATAGACAAATTAGATTCAACTCCTAATCAAGAGTTGATTCATTGCATTCAACATTGTCAACGTATTGTCCGGTAATGGTTAATTGGAAAATTTGTACATATTAATTTTCGAGGTCTAATACGTGAACTAACGAATTCTAGAATCGTGGACGTAATGCAAAGTGTCTACGGAGTTATTCGAATTCAAATATATTCAAGTGCGGAAAATAGTGATATTTTTTATTTATTGATGAAATATGAACGCTAACATTGGCTGACACCAACCCCGTTGATCTTCAGGTCTAAAACGATTACTGCAAACAATAAAACTCTTGGCAATTTTTACATCGTTTTTTTCAACATATTGATCCATTTTTCTTGTATTTCTGGATTTGCAGGCAATCTAAAAGTAGAATATGAAAACTATCTGGATCAATATAAATATTTCAGTCAATTTTTGCATTTGGATGAAAAGGTAATCTTATTTATATATCATACTTATGGAAAGTGAGATCTGCAGTGAAAACTGATCGTTCAACACTACACAAACAACAAGAATTAACCATTCTAATATTTTTTCAATTTTTCCAACTGTCGCAAACCATAATAACGGAAAAAACACATTAATTTGTTGTAAAACGATGGTAAAATGTTTTTCCCCGGTTTCCACTGCACACTTGAATTTTTACCCCCACCCTACAGCATCTCTGCTCCCCACTCACATCACTGCTCAACAAGGATAGGTAGGCACCGGGAGTATCTCTCCCTGGCTAAGCCTATGCAGCTTTCCTTTCCACATGCGCAGTTTAGGTGTAATACGTCTATGGTATTACGCTCACGCTTATTCGAGATTTTCGAGATATTTCGAGATCGATTTCCTTTCTCCTTTTTGCAATAGGATAGGAATAGGATTACGATAGGATGTTGACAAACATGTAAATGGTTCATTCCACAGAAAACTGTTCAGTCATTTAGTGCCATGTTTCCGATTTTCTCAATTTTTTTGTTTTAGTACCTCAGCGAATACGACCCTGTGTAAAATTTCAGCCCCTTAACTCGATTATCGACCGAGATTTTTGACATTTCGTGATTTACGCTTTTAATCTTTCAATTTTCTTTGCACTTGGAAATATGCTTCGCATAGAAAAATATTCAATACTTTTTTTTTGAAAAATTCTTACCTTTTCAGCGAAAAAATAATGATTCTTCACCTGAAGAAGAGATATTACGATGAAAATCGCTCATTTCATAACGTTCCCCAAACTTTTCTCATTTTTTTTCATCGAGAAGATGATATTTTTTCTAGTAAAATAACTATGTTCAAAAAACGCAATCAGTGTCAATTTGATGAAACATTGACAATCACCTTTCTTCACTACAATTTTGCTTGAATCAGTCTAGTACTCATCGGGCTATATTTTAACCAATTAAAGTTAGCAGAAGACATTACCACACCTGAAGGATGTTTGAGTTTGATCTCGATCTCTGGAGTAAAGAGCATATTTTCGCTTTGACCCGAAACGGAGACCATCAGTAAGTATTGTGTTTGGACATAACAGTTGAATTGAGAATATACATCAATCGAAAATCAAGTGGAGTTTTCACGTAAAAACGAGACGACTCCCCACGTGAAATTGGATTGCACTAACTCATTAATCCCAACAGATATTTCCAAACAGAAGGAGAGAATCATTAATAGCTTTTTTTATGAATTTATTCATTCATATGGAAAATACAAGTCGTAAGGAAATATTTCGCAAAACCTACATGTTTTGAGTGATATACATAGTTAAATATAACGCATATGATAGCAAATGTAGAATGAGTAGTGCACTAGGCTTCAAGTAACTCTTCAGCGAGTAATCCGTTTAAAAATACTTCATAAGATGTTATTCAATGGAGTGGAATAAGTAAGTAGCAAACAAAGGACTGAACAGTAACATAAATGCCCCAGTAGCTGAACGTTCAGATAGCAGTCCACCGCGAAAAACATTATAACGTAATTAATGGAGATTCGTTATTCGACCACGTTCGACATCACTACGTTTTTTACAAGCTGTTGTCGATTATATTTGGTGATAGTTGACCCTGGACCGCAAGACAACAACTGGATAGAGGTATAACATCATAACGTTAGGCTTACGAGAAAATCTTCAGCATGTGTCAATTTGTCTGACTGAATAGGCAACAAAATCTAGCGAATATTCAATTGTAGAACTAAATATATTCATCAGATACTCAAAAACGTTTTAGTACTGAGACAGCGTCAAATGCCGGCCTATTAATCTTGCCAAGTTGAGTTTACATACCTTTATAAAACAAGTTCATCTTATAAAATGATACTGATCAGTGTTGTAAGTAAAAAATCTCATAATGCCTTGTAATGCCTTTCAAAATAATGAGATGAAAAAATGACAGTCATGACATGTCGAAACCTTAAAGTATATCTTTCAAAAGAACTGAATGCTGAAATTAATCTAGAATTTTCGGATATTTATAATGTCAGTTGGATGATGTATGAATTAAAAAAAATGTTATTCATTTTGCATTCAAGTCATCAACAATCAGTAAATGGGAAATGGGTTTGTTTGTTAATAATTTGGAATAGAAATCTACGAAAATTCATACATAATCTAACAGCCATAATGAATGTCCTACGAAAATGTTGAATCACCGTCGTGATTGTTCATATGAAGCCCCTCAATAACAGGCAAGCGCATCAGCATAGGGAATCCACACCGTTTACGCTTGTCTGATATTAAGCTATCCATATGACGTTTCATCCTTTAATATTAAAATCAGCCTGCAACTTCAGCAATTTCCGTGTCTTTGTTGGGAATCAGATGAGGATGTACTCTTTGCATGTGGCTAAGGAAACTACTTCTGAACTTGAGAGAAGAGGATTTATGAATACAATAAGGACAGCTAAAGTTTCCTCCATAGTGGCCAGACCATACGTGATCCTGTATTCGCTCTTTCCTCATGGCAACGATGGAACACTTCTTGCATGACCATTCGTTCATTGACTTTCGACTGTACTCTTCAGTCCAATCGAGTTCATGGAATTGTCGACTTGAGGATAGTACGAAATATTGTTTTCCGACAGCTACTCGGAGGTCGTCAGTTTCATTGAGCGAGAGGTTTTCATCTTCTGTTTCAGCTGATTCCAGATGAGAGTCATCTTCTGGTGATTCAGCTTCACAATCATCATTATCGTGATGCGAATCTGGAAAGGCCTTTTCGCCGGATGCCTCTGGGTCATTCTCATCGTTATTCGAAATCGAGGCATCTTGTTCAGTTGAAAGCTCTGACACAGAAGCTTCGCTATTATCCATGGCTTGAGATGGGTCCTCATCATCTGTGGTTGATGCTAGCGGATCTCTCTCAACACTTGACTCTGAAGAAGGAAGATATTCTTTGGAGGCTTCAAATGAAGCTTCTTCGCCATCATCTTGGCCCGATCGTTTGTCCTCACTCACGCCAGACTCCATCAGCGTCGATCTAGTCTTTCGTGGTATTATATTTTTAACATTTTGAGACTTCCTCTTCGAAGGATTCCTCTTCTCTTGTATGACATCACCTTCAGACATCAATTTCTCTGACTTCTGCGTGCGAGAGATCGCCTTCAAAGCTTCTGATGTGGTGACAGACTTCCTCGATTTGCTTCTACGAGGTTTTATGAATGTTCTATCAGCTTCCTCCTCCAGTACTGCCTCTGTACTCTCATTATTTTCTTCTCCACCGAATTGTTTCTTCATCGTAGCTGTCTTTTTTTTGGGATGTGACTTCTTCCCTCCAGTTCCACGAGCAGAGGAGGCAGCAGCTTCAAGCTGTTTCACATGTTTCGCTTTTGTTTCAGGTTTTCCTGCCGAATCGAACCTCTGAATTACAACGCTGACCTTTCTGATTTTAACAGTAGAAAAGTTCAATTCTTCTTTTGGCACGGAATCCTTCTGCATTGTTTCATCAAAGCGGCTCAGTTCATCTCCTTCAGCATTGTCCTCCTCTCGGGTTCCCTCGTCACTCTTCTGGGGCGATGACACTGCAGTTCGAGCAGAATTGGAGTGAATCGTGTCCTCTTTCAATCCAGCATTTTCGATCAATAGTAATGCAATTCGTTGCTCCAATGCAGTCTGCACTCGGAAAAGCTCGGCTTCTGCTGCTGCCTGGGCTTCACGAGCTTCATTAGCCTGCTGCATAGCTCTTTCCAGATCCTCCTGAAGTTGTATTTTCGTCTCCTTTTCCATTTGAAGCTTCATCTCCAGGATGTTCTTCTCATGCTCACATAATTCTTCTATTTGTTTTCGAATAGTATGTTGTTGAGCAGCGGCGGCCTCTGTCTCAGACAATCTCTTGCGAAGGGCTGTGAGTTCCCTCATATATCTTGATTCTGGCTCTGCTTGGTGCATAGAGACATTGCCTGAGGTGTTAAAGCTCGATGAGGTAGATGCCTCGAGTCGCTGGCGTTTTGCAGGTCTCTCGAGACTTGCAGGTGATGGTGAGCCTGAACTCTGAAAGCTATCGCCGTTCATCTGAAAATTGCAATTCTTCTTTATTTAGAGAGAAGCAGATCTAGGGGAGAGGGATCAAATAAACCGTCTTCACTCTAGCTACTGTGACGGTATCTGTAATCCTCGATCACTCGTTCAACGAACGCGGCGCCGCCCGTTTTAATTTTTTCTATATTTTAGCGTGTTTCTCGACACTTAAGGATTCTGAAAAAATTAGAGTTCCTAGTTCAATTCTTTTATTAAGCATTGGCGTTATCGGTTTTTTTCTCGAAAAATTTGTTTAGGTAAAAAAAAAATGAAACTCGAACGGACAGAAAAGCGGTGCCGCGTCGCCCGCTGTGAGTGAGTAGATCCGATCAATTAGCTCCTCATGTATAGATATTCCAAATTTTTATTTTTTTCCTCATTGAAGTAGTTTTGAAGAAAAT